CTCCCAAATGCTTTGCTTTCATCACCCCTTAGTTTGTGCACAGTGAGGCCTTTCCTGACCACCAATTTAAAACTATGCTATCTCCAGTTTTTGGTCTTTCTCTCCTGACTGTCCTAAATACTTCTCAATACTGGACATATTACGAATAGTGTTGCTTAAATTCCTACCCCCCTCAGGAATGCCAGTCCTATGTTTGCTATCTTTATTCAATGCTAGAACCCCACAGTGCTTAGCATGGTGCTTAGTACATAGTAAAAAGCTCAATAAATGTTTGCTGAATAAAATGTTCAGAGTTGCTACAGGCTTTATATATCAGGTGAGGTTGGGAGGGAGAGATGATCAGAGGCCGTGTTTCAAGGTCAGCCTCTCCGATATCACAAGGAGGATCCACTGAACTGGTTAGTTGTAAGCTTTGTCTATCAAGAAGGTAGGCTCTGCTTGCCTACCCAACTACTGGATAAACTCTTAGGAAAGGAAGAAAGGGTTTCTGTGGATTAAACAAGCAAAAGAAATCTGGATCCACAAAACAATGATGTCCTTTCTTAGAAATGAAGAATGTAGTGTTCAGGATAATTTACATTTGAGATCTTTGCCTTTGAGGTCACCAGCTACAACAAAACAAGAATTTTTAAGGCCAATGTATTATAGAGTTGCTCTCTCCCCACCCCCAAGGAACATTTCCAAGACTACCTAAACTCTCATCTCATGTATGGGAAAAGTATTAGTCAGTTCTGTGATGCTCTCCTAGGTGCTGATTCAGAATTACTAGACTTTTTTGGAGTATGGTGATGAGAAAAGCAAGTCAGTCATCATAAGCCATAGAAGTTGCAGATCAAATGTTACTGATTAATCAACCTGTCATTGGTCAATTACCCAAACCCAAGAAGAGAGGCCACTGATCTAGTTGCCTATCAATAAACATCTACCTGGGCACATCAGCTGCTGGCTAACCATAGCCTGCCAAGGTATCCAGCATGATCCACAGGCATGGGTGGTTAAGAAATCCCTCTTTCTTTCTTCTTAATAATGTCACAGAAGAGGCAAATGCAGTCCCTGACAACATAATGTTAGTTTCACAGAGACGTGTCTCTTTGAGCGCTTGGTCAGTTAGTCAGGGCTTCAATTGCATGGATTTTCTCACTGCAAAAACAATAGCTGGGCTTAAGGAACTTGGAGGCTTCACACTGTGCTAAGATACACAATTCTGCCTTTGGTTGCACTCATGCTCATCATTCTCCCTGAGCTAGGAAAAGAAAAATTGTTTGGGGGAACCATTTTCATTCCACATTTAAAGATAACCAAATGGGAACTGGTAGCTATTGCTTTAAGCCCCAATGACACCTTTTTCTGGCATCAGATTCAACACTTCTAATTCTTTGGGTAGACTGCTAGACACCAACATGGTCTTGTCACATGAAGAGCCTGTTTGTCTCCCTCTGGTTGTTACCTTGGTAACGACCTTATGAAGTCCCTGCTGCATCTAAAATTCAAGATCTCATACTATACTCACATAATTTCCCCTTCTATCTTGACAAGACTACCTCATCTGCACATTCAGTCTGTCAAGGGATGGTTATTCTGAGTTGCTACAGATTTTATGCATCAAGGAGTTTGGGAGGAGGCAGGAAAAAAAATAATACAAATATGATAAATGCTTCAATAGGAGTTACATACAGAATGTACATGGATGTATGGTTCAGTCTAGAGGACGATAGAAGGTTAAGGAAACATTAAGAGTGGAGTCTTGAAGGGGAAAAGGAGTCCAGTAAAATGGGGATGGTGAGACAGTAGTAAGAAACACAAGTAATGAAACACCTTGTTCAAAGAGCTGAAGGCTCAAAGGTAAGAGAGCAGTGACATATGCAGACTGAGCTGGAGTACATGTATGGGCTGAGAAGCAGAAGACAAGACGTACAGATCGAAGCAAGTTTATTGTTCTTAAATGCCTTTATCTCAACTTTTTCCTAAAGGCAAATAGTAGCCATGAATCCTCTTGGGAAGGGCATGACCACATCAGCTTTGTGGTTAACGGTGTAGAAGCAGGGAAGGAAGGGCAGATGGAAGTCTGCAAGGCCAGGGAGAGGTGTGTGTGAGCAGGGGAGGGAAAAGAGGGAAGCACTTGTGATATGTAGGTGCAGGTACTGCTAAAAATTTACAGCTGACTGTTAAGGTGGGGATGGGGTAAGTGAGGGAGAGGAAGAAATTTAAGGAGATTCCCACTTTTTGGGCTCAGTGGATGGATAGATGGGTGGTTTGTTTGAATGAGAGGAGGAAATTATGATGTGAGGTGACTTGCACAGGGGAGGGGTGGATAATGGAATACCATTTCTGATATATTGGTTGAGATGCATATTGAACAATGTTAAGTGGTGGTGCGTGGGTGGGTGAGTGGGAGGGATACCGGTAAGCAGAGAGAATACAGGGAATGTTAAAAGAGTGGGCAGAACTACTGAATTGCCAGTTTGCTTCCATCTTCATTGGCAAGAAGACTGGTCTTCAAATTAGAAATGGCAGGACAAACATAATAGAGAGAAAATTGAGGCCCCAAGTAGGTGAAGTGAAAGAGAGTATCTTGTCAATTTAAATGATTTCAAGTCTCCTGGCTCAGATGAGTTACACCCCAAGCCTGCTGAAAGAAATTGCAGATGTAATCTCAAAGACATGACTGGTAATCTTAAAAGAAATTGTGGCAACTATAAGGCGTGTCAGAAGATAAGAGAAGGACAACTGTTTTCCATATTTTAAAGTGAGGAGGGGAAAGAGTGGGAAATATTTTGATAGGTTTTACACTATACCAAAAACTCTAGTGTGCCTTCTTAAATAGACAGCTGATGATTAGCTTAGTTAATGCATGTGGCGGAGAAAAAGGGAGGAAGGAAGGGGTTGTTTGTGCTTTGACATCAGTTTGTACCTGGTAGCATGTCCCATTGAATGTGGCTTCTCATCCCCCTTCCTAAACACACAGTGAGTTGTCCAGCCCATCAGTATGAACTCAAGGCTTCTATATCTGTGATATGCTGCCTGGGATACTCAGCCTGTAAGTAGGCCTTTCTGAAAAGGGCTCAACAATGTAAATGAAGAAATCCATAGAGTGAATTCCCCAAGAAGTCCAGCAAGTTGTCAGGTGCCCAGGGGACTAGCAAGTGACATTAACCTCTGTGGTTATTAACCAAAATGATAACAGGCTTTTGTCTATTAGAGTTCTACTATCATATATTTTGTGCTATTTCTTTATTTTTTTAAAAAAGATTTATTTATTTATTTATTCATACAGAACTGGGGTACAGGCCAGAGATGCGGAGGGTGAGAGGATTCACCAGAGACAGAGTGGGGAGTAGAACAGGCAGATCGACGAAGTACACTGCTGAGGGGAGCAGCGGGTGGGTCAGGAGTGGTCACCTCCGGGGCAGGCAGGGATCGAACTCATGTGGAAGTGGCTTAAGCTTCTTAGTGCTGTGCTTTAACCCATTGCGCCACCAGGGAGGGCCCGCTATTTCTCTTTTTATACAGACTGATTTTAAATGAGAACAGAGAGCAAGGTAAGGGGAAGGCAGCCATGTCTCCTGCTAACAGCTCTACCCTTATCAAGCTGAGAGATAAAATGCAAATATTCAATATTTAAAAGAAAAAACCCACATGCATTTATAAACATTACTCCTTCAGGAACTTAAGACCTAAAAAAGAAAAGAAAAGGGCAGCCTATGAGAGACCTAGATGGCTCCATGAATGAAAAGAATCTTCTCTGGGAGACATTTTAACATGTTATAATCCTAAAAATCAAACAATGTAATATTAAGTGTTTAAAGTTCCCTTCTCAAAGCAAAATGAAAACAGCCACAAAAACCCAGACACAAAGATCATCAACAAAGATTTCTTAGACTATGTATAAAAAGAGAAACAACACAAAATATATGTCTAGTAGATATCTTTTAGACTCAGGTCTCATATTCATATCTATTTCATTCATATGTATTACATATGACCTCTTTTGAGGTTATCCAATACAAACTGAGACTTGGGAAAGAACTAAATAAGACTGGGGGAGGGGTGCTATCTAATCTAATCCTTCCACAAGTCTAATTTTGATGCATCTCACCACCAGAAAATCCAAACAAATAACCTGTATTTCCTTATTATCCCCATTCTACATCCCTCAATATTTAGAAGAATAAAAGAAATGTCTTCACTGACACTTGGCCTCATCACTATCAAAACATAATTTGCATGCATCTTCCATTTTAAAAATAATGAGTGAGTTTGCCAAATGTCAGTGAAGACCGACCACTCTGGAGAGCTGTGTGGACGTTCCTCAAACTACTAAAAACGAGCTGGTGTCAGATTCAACACTTCTAATTCTTTGGGTAGAGAGCTAGATGCCAACATAGTTTTGTCACATGAAGAGCCTTTTTGGTTATTACCAATTCCACTCCTAGGAATTTACCCAAAGGACACAAAAACATTAATTCAAAAGGACACCTGCACCCCTATGTTTATTGTAGCACAATTTACAATAGGTAAGCTATGGAAGCAATCCAGATGCCCAAAAACAGATGACTAGATCAAGAAGATGTAGTATATTTACACAATAGAATATCACTCAGCAATCAAAATGGAGAAACTCATGCCCTTCGCAGCAACATGGATGGAGTTGGAAGGGATATGCTCCGCAAAATAAGCCAGAAAGAAAATAAAAAATATCGAATGGTCTTATAGGAGGAATGTAGAGAATACAAAAAAAGGAATTGAAAAATAAAAAGTAACTATAATAAGGTAAAAAATTAAAGTCATCAGGCAACTATAAATCAGAGACACCTTGTAAGGATGAAGGACCAGGATAGGAGTGGGAAAAGCACAAGGGACTAAGGTAAAATGGTACACAGGTGAATTGGTGGTGGGAATTTCAAGGGGAAAATCATACACTGTACCAAAATGAAGACTGATGCAATTAATATAATAAAAAATTAAAAATAGAACAAATGAGAAAGAAGGAATCGTCTTACCGTATTGACCCAATCATGTATGGCTGTGCCAGTTGAACCACAATTGCGCCACTTCCTAGCTGATGACATGTGTAACCAGAATCCCAATCATAATTCTTGGTGTCTCCATTCAGCAAGGCATTTCGGCTTCGACTGACTCCTTCAATCACACTGGCACAATCAGCAATTGTTGCAACATTCTCCATGGGAACTGTGAACCCAATACAAGATTCAGCATCAAGATAAGAGAAGCCAATATATCCTGAGAGTGTGCTATGAACAAATTAATTAATTACTATTTCAAATCAACAATAAAAGAGGAATGAGAACATCATGATTATTTCAAGACATGAACACATTTTCCATGTCAAAGAGCTTTACAAAAAAAAAACTGAATCTAAGATTGGAACAAACCCAACACATGTAACAATTACTACTGAAGTATTTTATTATACAGAGACATGACATGGCATAAAATATAGGATAGGTAAATACACTGAAAACATTACTACAATGAGAAAACACAGCAGCTGAGAGAAATGCACTAAAGCTGCATAAAAATGAACAAATAAAAAATGTTGCGTGAAAAAGGCAAGACACAGAAAAACACAAGAATACACGTTCATTTATACAATGTTTTTTAAAAGGCAAAACTAAAAACAAACTTTGTTTAGTAAACAAATTTTGTTTAGTAAACATATATAAATTAAAACTTAAAAGGAAATCCAGGGAATTATTCAAAATTCAAAATAACTTATTTGGGAAGCAGGAAGAAGAGATCCCAGAGGGACCCTCACCAGTCAGAATGGTTAATGAATTCCTTTTCACCATATAAGCTTAAAGGAGTTTCAAAAATAAGGTTTGGCTATTCTGTTCCTAAAGTAGGTAAAGGGCACACAGGAACTTGTTTTTACCAGTTTTACATTTAATAGATGTAACACATTTGTTTAAAGAAACACTGTATATAGGGCTTCAGTATTACAGAATTCTTTATGAACGCCCCAAGACATGGTATCAGTCTCTTCAGAATATACAGTTGCCTTCAGCCATGACTGTTTCCTTTTTTAGCTTACTGTCTTATGTATTTTAACACATCTGCTCCTCTGCTTGTTCATGAACTGTTGCATTTTGAAACACAAAGCTTTGTTCTGACTGAATCTCTCTCTATACTTCCAGTCCATATCAACCTGTTCATTTATAAAAGTCAAGGGCTTCCAGAAAATGATACCTGTCTAGAAATGATACAGAATGGATACATTGCACAGAGAAGAGGATGATAAAAGATCAGGGCTTTCTAAGTCACCTGGGACCTTTCCTGTATATTTACTAACATTTGGAGTTTTCTTCAGATATTAAAGTTATTTAACCCAAATCTATAATGAACCCTAGTTATTTATATTCCAGATTTGTAGCTTAGTTTACATAACTGAAAACATATTGGAGAAAAGATAATTTCTCATCAGATACATATAGTACTTTTTAGGACATTATGCTCTCTGAAAAGTACAGGGGAGCAGTATTGCCACCATGCCAAAACATTTCTAACTTTAATGATGTGGAGCAAATAAGCTCACATGTGTCTTTTGAAAAATGTACTTATCTTCCAAAGTTGGGTCATCCTGTACTTGAGCCAAGGTTTTACAAACCTTCATTACACCTCTGTCAAACACCTCTGTTCTCTGTAAGTGAATAAAGCCATCCACAGATAAAGAAGAGAGGACAGGAAGGAAGAAGGGAGAGAAGATGGTTTTTCTGGTGATGAATTCCTTGACGATGAAGTTTAACTTCAAAACTATAAATAAAAATACAGGTGAAGTAACCTGCAAGAAATTTGCTGGCAAGAGAGAAGCTCCCAATGATTTTGGCAAAGGATACAGATGAAAGACTGTATTCATAAGCTAAGTCATGGTGCTTCTATTTCATGAAAAAGGGAAGTATTTTGTGATTGGGAAGAATGAACTTAAGAAAGCAACACAAGATGTACAGTAAATTGAGCCAAGACATAAAATATTGTAGGTAATGTACACTGCAGTAACAGACAGCTTCCATTCCCACAGTTTATTTTTTGCTCACCCTATATATTCAGTGATGATAAGCAAAGTAGCTCTGTCACTGGATCACTCAGAGACCAGAATGACAGGCTCAAAATTGATATAAGCTTCCTCAATCACAGCAGCAGTGAGAAGACTCTTAAAACTCATCCCCAAAACACATCACTTTATTCAGGTTTTAACTAAAGCAAATCACAGGGTCTTAATATAATTTCAAAGGAGGTAGGTTGGGAAATTGGTCGTGTACAGGCCCAGAAAAAAGAAACGAAACTTTTGGTGTATTATAGTAACATCTACCACATGCATTAAGCCAGGATAGAGGAATAATCAATTGACAGTTAAATAAAGCTCATTCACATAAAGTATATACACTATGTCAGGATAGAAATATAAAAAAATTATATATTTAGTTTCCTGCTAAGGTACATTTAAATTGGTGCCACTGTTTTTGTGGGGATTATAAAGTTGTTCTTAGGGACATGGTAAGAGTTTCTTCAAAGAATATATAATACAAACACACACACACACACACATGGAAGTAGAATTACACTAGTGGGTTATGAGTTACTTTCAACTTTCCTGGGTATGGCCAAATTATCCACCAAAGTGGTCATTAAAAATGGATACTTACCCTGACTGGATTAAAAAGACGTGGTACATATATACAATGGTATTAATATTACTCAGCAATCAAAAAAGGTAAACACATGCCTTTTGCAGCAACATGGATGGAGCTGGAAGGGATCATGCTTAGTGAAATAAGCCAGAAAGAAAAAGAGAAATACCAGCTGGTTTCACTCATAGCAGGAGTATAAAGTACCAGGGGAGAAAATAATAATAATGACCACCTATATACCAGAGATATTTTACAGGGTGAAATGGGGAATGGGATAAAAAATGGGGGGGGGGGCAGGTGGAGAGGAAGTGCACTGAACTACGGTGATGGCACACAGGTGATTTGGTGATGGGAAGCCCACGGGAATTACAATTGAGATGGAAAAAGACACAAAATGATGTAAAAATAAACTATAGTATTTATTATTAAAAAAAATGGATATTTAACCCATTATTCCCCCTTTTGGAATATTAGACATGTAAGTGTAAAATGTTACCTTATTTTCTTATTATTTTATTAGTTGAAGATGAATTTTTTTTCACCTTTTCCCCCTCTGGAATCATTTTCCATTTCCATGAACTGCCTATCTTTTGTCTACTTTTCTATAGGATTTGCTGACTGGCTAATCCTTTCTTGGGCAATATTGAGCTGACATGTTTAATCTTTTCCTTTATGACTTGCTGTTTTCCTTTCTTGTTTATAAATTCTTACCTATCCTGAATTCATACAAGTATTTCCTATATTTACTTCTAAAAGGTCTCTAAGTTTGCTTTTCATTATTTGTTTTTTTCATCAATTTGAAATTTATGATTGTTATACTATGAAGTAGGGACCTATTTTCATCTTTTATTCATAAGGATAGTCAATTTCCCTTGTACCATTTAATGAACAGTTATACTTTTCCCTCCACTAATTTTTAAATCATCTCTATGAAGTTTTCATGTATATTTACATTTCTTTTTTTTAAAAGATCTATTTATTTATGCATACAGAACTGGGGTACAGGCCAGAGATGGGGGTGGGAAGAGAGGATTCACCAGACAGAGTAGGGAGCAGAACAGGCAGACTGTCAAAGAATACTGCTGAGGGGAGCAGCAGGCAAGCTAGTTTTGTAGTGCTGTGCCTTAACCCATTGCGCCATCAGGGAGGGCCCTATTTGCATTTCTTTTAAAGCTCTATACTATTTTACTAATTTATTATACTGCTTGAATTACTAAAACCTTATAGTAATTATTAAAATCTGATAAACACTCCCCTTTTTCTCTTCAAAATTATCTTTAATATAATTCTTTAAAATTTACTTACACATATTTACATCATTGCTCATTTTTGTACAATGTATGCTTTCTCCCCTCAGGTGTAGTCCCCATAAAATTCCCATCAATTCACCCACGAACTATCACCATCATCCCTTGTGTTCTTCCATCCCCTATTTTAATCCCTCTACTTTCCCCCTCTGCAAAATGTCTTTAGCTTATAGTTGTCTGCTAATTTTGTTTTTAAATTTATTATTATTGTTATTTCCCCCTGATCCCTTATTATTCTTGGCCCTTTATGGAAATATTTTCATTTTATGTTTTTAAATATATTGTGATCAAAAATTTCATAATATGTCCTATTTTTAATTCCAAATATTTTACTTATACTTTTTTTTCCAGTCTGTTACAGTTTTATCCACTTTACTAGTATTTTTAAAGAACCAGCTTTTGGTGTTGTTAATTCTTTATTTTCTACTTGCTTAAATTCTGCTTTTCTTTTCATTTCATTCTATTTGGTATTTACCCTATACATTTTTAGACAACTTAAAGTACATACATAACACATTAACCCTTCTTCTTTTTGAATAAATGTGTCTAAAGCAAATATTTTCACTCTAAGCACTGCTTTACCTTTTTCTGTAAGTTTTGATATTCAGTGTTTGGAAGTATTGTGCAGATTGTTCCTCAATTTGGGTCTGTCTGATATATAGTATTTAAAAATTTGATTGTTTATAATTATCTTGTTTCTATTCTACTTATTCTTTGATCCATAAATTGTTCAGAAATATGTCTTAACTTTCCAAATAAAACTTTTCAATTTTTTTGTTAGTTTTTTTTTACATTACAATGTGGATTAAAAAAAGTATTATCTCTATGATACTGACTTTGTTGAGATTTATTTGTGGTCTAGTATATGGTCATCTTATTAACATTTTATAATGTCTTATTAATATTTTATATCTGTGCCTCTTGGAAGATACATGATTCTCTCTATACTATATCAAACTTACAGTGTTGTTCAAATCATTTAAATGGTTACAAATTACTGGACACTTGTTAAAAAAAAGCTCTCAATGTTATTGTAGATTTTACAATTTGCTCTCATAATTATGACAACGTTTTACATAGTAAATCCATGTCATTTTATCTACACAATTTTAGTATTGTATCAGTATCTTCCTCATGGACTGACCCTTTTATTATTATGTGGTGTTGTTCTCTATCCTTAATATGTTTTTGCCCTAATATCTACATTGCCTGTTATCAAATTACTATAGGGCATTTA